AGTTACTAAGTCCCCCGACCGTCCAAGTAGGGGGGTCTGTTCGGGGTAGAGGGCGCCGGGCTGTCGTTGCCAAGCTTCTCAGGGATGAGGCTCCCTAGGGCTTTTATTACTCATTCCAAGACTTAAAATCAAGAACAAGACCAAGGACAAACGGCAAATATGAATCAGAAGAGCAATTAAGACTCAAAACAGTTGAACTATACGTGTAAATGATGCCAATCAAGTTCATAACAACAGCATAACACAGGCAATCACAGTAACACGATCACAATGACAACAATAGCAATAAGACTAAGACTGAAGACACCAATAAGAGTGACCATAAACATAATAGCGTATCATAAAATAAATCACAGCAGTGAACACACTTCTAGTGAAGAGCCAGAAAAGCCACAACAAAGAAATAAGCTATCAATCAAGCTAAACAAAGCGAGCCCTAAATCCCAAACAACTAACGCCTAACCTCAAAACCCTTAGCCCCAAAAACTCCTGTGGCCCCAGACCTTAAAACCTAAATCCTAAAGCCTCGCATAAACCCCGGTTTAGGCCTTAGGGACTCCTACTAGGTTCCACAGTTGCCCCTGAATAACAAGGTTACAGTTTTCCTACTGCTTGGTTTCAATAAGGGAGCCCAGGCAACCTAGCTTCAACCAAAAAAACCTCAAGACGGTTTGGAGTTTAGAGTTTAGGGACTCTTCAACCAAAGAAATCACTTCAAAACGGTTTAGAGTTTAGGAACTCTTAAACCTTAGAGTTTAGGGCTTAGGGTCTAGGGACTCTTACATAAACCCCAAAAGAAAGGAGCTAGGCCTGGAGATCTGCCTTCGAGCTCTTCATCGCCACCAACTCATCGGCTCGCTGCTGACTCTCAGTGCTCAGGTCCTGCAACAGCTGGGCCCTTAAGGGCTCCTTTAGGGGATCTACATGGTTCCCTTTAAGGGATAAATAGGGTTCCCTTAAGGGTTGCTTTAAGGGATCTACATGGTTCCCTTTAAGGGATCTATAGGGTTCCCTTAAGGGCTCTTTTAAGGGATCTACATGGTTCCCGTTAAGGGATCTACAGGGTTCCCTTAAGGGCTGCTTTAAGGGATCTACAGGGTGCCCTTTAAGGGATCTATAGGGGAGTTTGGAGCTTTAGGATGCTCCAAAGCGTCAGGGTTCCTTTAAAGGGATCGGTTGGGGGGGTTCTGTAAGGGATCTATGAAGGTTTGGGGCTTAGGGATTTTTCGGGTTTGGGGTTGGCTTTAGGGCTTGGCTTGAGGGCTTCCGGGTTTGGAGCTTATGGGGTAGGGCTTTAGGGTTGCAAGCTTTGAAAATTGCGGAATATCCTTGCCTTTGGGAACCTGAGGGTCTTACTTAGGTTTTGGTCAATGCCAAGGGGCTAATATAAGGGGCCTGAGTAACTAGAATAGGGTTTTGGAGCCAATAATATATTATAATATCATAATAAGGAACCCGCAAGCTAGTATGGGCAATGATCTAGGTCCCTACATTAGGCTTTGGTTGTTGGTGGTTTTGGGATTGGGGAGGTCGCATCTACAGAGCTCTGCCTATGTATGGCCTGGCTTTCCGGTGGATGACTCTCCTTCGGGAGCGTCGTGGTGCCTATCCGCGGCACGAAATGCACACCCACTTAAGCCCCAAAATCTTGAGCCCCACTACAACCTGAGGCCCAGTTTGAGGAGTTCGCCTGGATATCAAACTGAACCCTTTGAACTCCAAAACCTGAAGAGCCCCTAAGAACTGAAAACCCAGACACGAACTCATTCAACAGGGTTTGGGAGTTTAGGTTTCACGGTTTCGGGTTTAGGTCTGAGGGTGTAGGGTTTAGGGATCTGTAGTGCATATCATAAAACAATAGTGCTACGGAGCCCAAGAAAACCTATTGGCCATTCCGTCAGGGCCCTCTCGCACCTGGTCCGACCCCTACACTACAGCCCAAACCCCAAACCCTTATAGATATGGAATAGAACCCTTGATTACAGTAACCCTTCATTGGATACTAGTACTTGTTACTGGTCATTCATAAGGGCCGTAGGAATTGGAACAGTGTGTTGGGGTGTGCTGTGCTGTCCTTGATGTTGGGACTGTAAGGAGACACTGCTACAAATACAGCAACCCTTAAGTACATACTAGTACTGGTCACTAAAACCTGATTCCTACGCACCCAGACCCGAAACCTAAACCCATAAGCCCCAATCAACCCCCGAAGCCCCAAACCCCTGAGCCCTAAGCCCACGCCACCGAAGCCATATTCATTCCCTGAAGCCTGAACCCCTATTCCCCAAACCTCTTTAGGTCACCCAAGTTGTACGCACCCGTATAACAAGGACCCGAAAAGGAACCTTAATTTAGAGAACTACCAACAGGCCATAACGAAGCAATTGTAGATCCCTTTCAGGACCCCTTTTTACGGAATCCCTAATTTAGAGAACTAATGTAGGAGCCGAAATAATTACCTATACTATTTCGTAGGTTCCTTTATTATAAGTCTAGTATCATGGGCCCCAAAACCCTATTCTAATCATTAAGGCCCCGACATTAGAGTGGATAAGCTTAAGCACTTTGGGGGGTACTATAATCCCCATATACATTGGACACGCATTAAACCTTAGCCCTACCTCTAATCCCCAAACCCTAATTAGCCCTAACTCCTAAACCCTAAAACACCCTATTCTAATTATCAAGGCCCGATATACCTTCGCCCTAACTCTAATCCCTAAACCCTAGCCCTGTCCCCTAAACCCTAAAAACCCTATTCTAATTATCAAGGCCCCGATATGACCCACATTTTCCCACCCTTTTCCTTGCCTCGTACTCGAGGCGGAGCTCCCCCAGCAACTGGCGCAGCTCCCCAGCCTTCAGTGTTTAGGCATTCGGG